ATTCCTATTATTCTTAGATTTGGTCTTTATTTAGTGTCCCAGATTTCCTGGATGTTTTTTGTCAGGAACTTTAGATTTAACATTTTCTTTGCCCAGTGTATCAGTTTCTTCTACCATATCTTCTACTCCAGAGATTCTCTTCCATCTCCTGTATTCTGCTTGTGATGCTTGCATCTGTAGCTCCTGTTCACTTACCTGGATTTTCCTTCTCCAGGATTCTCTGAGTTTGTTTTCTTTATTACTTCTATTTCCATTTTCAGGAACTGAACAGTTTTATCCATTTCCTTCACCTGTTTATATTTTTCTGGATTTCTTTAGGGGATTTATCCATTTCAGGGCCTCTATCATCTTCATAAGATTGGATTTAAGATCATTTTCTTGTGCTTCAGCTGTATTGAAACTTCCAGGGTTGCAGTAGTTGGATAGCTGGGCTCTGGTGGTATCATATTGCCCTGGCTGTTGTTGGTGTTCTTACACTGGCCTCTAGTCATCTGGTTTTGGGGTTATTATAGGTTTTGGTAAGTTTATCTTTGTTAGTTGGATGTTTCCCCCCACCCATGATTTCTGTTTCTTCTATGGTCTTCTCACTTTAGTGGCCCCTGGGTTCTGATGACCAGTAAGTCTTCAGATCCAGTAGAGTGTCTCCACTGAGGATTTTGCGACCTGCATAACCTCTGGGGTTCTGGGTGCCAATGTTACTTCTGGGGTTCGAAGTACCTCTTTGGCCTCTGGGGTTCTGGGTACCCCCTTGGTCTCTGGGGTTCCTAATATGTTGTGGCCTCCAGTATAGTAGAAGTCTTCCACTGAAGATGTAGGATATGGAGCCCAGCAAAGTGGTGCTGTTGGAGGCTGTTCTGTGGGCTTAAAGGGCTATTAGCAGGCAGTTGGCAGTATCTTACCTGCAATCCCTAGGGCCAGCATGAAGTCTTCTGCTGGAGTTGTGTGCCAGAATCAAGGTGCTGTATTCTTAGCAAGAGCTAACATATATACTTATGTATCATATACCATTCCCGCACCTTGACATATTTCATTTACACCAATTGGACTTTAAAAAATAAGCAAATACACATAGTAACTTATTCAAGGAACTCTAACCAAAAATATGAACTATAAATCAGTTGTGTTTTTAAGCCTGTGATTTCCATTATAGTAGACTGCTATCAATATCTATGGCATAAAATTGATAGCTACATAATTTTCAAAGATTTAAAAAGATTAAGAAAGCAGACTGAGCAAGTCATAATGAGCAAGCCAGTAAGTAGTACCCCTCCCATCAGCTCCTGCCTTCAGGTTCCTGCCTTGAGTTCCTGTTCTGACTTCCTTCAGTGATGGACTATGATCTGGAAGCATAAGCCAAATAAACCCTTTCCTTTCCAACTTGCTTTTGGTCATAGTGTTTCATCACAGCAATAGTACCCCTAATTAGGACAGTAACATAAATTATACCCAGTGACAAACTAGTTTGGTTCCAAATACTCATAATTGCCTTTATTGTGTGACAAACCTGTAGATTTGACTTTTCAGTGGGTCTTTGATGACAGTGTTTTAGGTGTCTTTGAAAGATCTTAAATATTGCTTAATGATCATTTTATATGCTATTAAAAATTAAGGATTTTAGCCGGGTGTTGGTGGCACATGCCTTTAATCCCAGCACTGGGGAGGCAGAGGCAGGCAGATCTCTGTGAGTTCAAGGCCAGCCTGGTCTCCAGAGGGAGTGCCAGGATAGGCTCCAAAGCTACACAGAGAAACCCTGTCTCCAAAAACAAAAAACAAAAACAAAAAAACAAAACAAAAAAAAAATTAAGGATTTTTTGACTCACTGCTATTTTGCTATATTGTCAATAAAATAAGAATTATCTGACACAGTTAATTCATCTCTGAAAGCAATGCATTTAAATATTTCCTGGGAATAGTTTTGAAACATTTCAGAGCTTTGGCCTCTAAAGTAAATCACAGGCTCTACATTGTGCTATGTAAAAGCAGGTAATTTTTCAGAGTACCCAAAGAGGATGTTCTAAAATAACATCTTTTCCAAGTGGAGAGAATATAGGAGGCATGAAGTTCTACAACTGCTGACGTTGTAAAATTTAGGGTTAGGTTATGATTCCCTTTACCACTTAGCTATTCCTTGTACCAAATGTTTTTCACATGAAATCTGTGATCTTTGGGTTTGCTTTTGTTTCCCCCTACATGCATGTTACCTCAACAGGTGTTATAAATTTCCTGCTCAATACTGAATACAAAATTAGGCAAAGAGAGTGAGTGCAGAATTCTAGCTTCAATGACTATTTCCAGGGATTTCTAAATAGATGGAGCTACAGTGTGTTCAAGTTCCTCTCCTTGTCTGCATTACTGTGTCCCCCCGAAAAAAGAATCATGGTGTTTACAGGGAGAAAGGAGCAGGAAACAATATTACTTTGAAAAGGTAGTTACAATTCAAAAGTATACAACTCACTGCTTTTTAAGGTATGTGCAACCGTCACCAGTTTTGGAACATTTTTATCACCTCAACTTTGTACACTTCGGCTTTACCTCTCTGCCTGCTTACCAGCCCTAAGAAACCACCATTGGGTTTACCTCTATAGATAGGGTCATTCTGAATATTCCACCATGAAAGGAACAGTTTTTGTGTTTTATTTCATTTAGCATGTTTGTAAGTTTATCTATGTATTGCATAATTCTTTCATTGGTTTTGGCCAAATAAATTTGATTGTAAAATACTATTTTGTTGATCCATTAGTTAATGGCTACTTTAATTGCTCCCACCATTTATCTATGTTTAATTTAAACATTCCTATACATGTTCTTGTGTAAAAATACATTTTCATATGTATATATGTGAGTGATATTGCTGGATCATACAGTAACTGCTAACTATTTGAATAATTGACAGACTGTTCCAAAGTAGCAAACTATATTTTCATTTCTTATAAGAAATAGGAGCAAAATTACTAGATCGTTCAGTAACTGTTTAGCTATTTGAGGAATTGCCAGAC